TTTGCCTGTGGATAGCCGTTACGGAGTGAGCGGCCGAGTATCGCTGTCTGGTAAACGGAATATTTGTTGCTGGTAATATCCTTGGTACTGCGGTTGATTACCAACTAGGCATAGCTTGCGGCTTATGGTCATCTTTTGTAGGTACATTATCTTTGGTTTTGGTCATTTTGATTCATTTTGATTTGTTTAAACTGTTTGGTTTATGCATTTTCGCTTTTCGCTTATGAGCACTTATATATACTCTATTATAATTACTTAATTACTTAATTTGATGGTTTGATGGATAATTGACGATTGATAACCATTATGGAGTGAACTAGGGAATTTTATGAACACTAGGTTCTATCTCTATATGTTTTATACTTTATGGTCTCGCTCTCGCTCTTTTACTCGGCCCGGTTTTCAGTCTTAGGTAACATAGTTTTCGGTGACGCGTGTTTACTCTTCTCTTCTCCGGGCATTGTGCAAATTTGTGCATTATTTACTCGTCTGTGATCTGTGATGTGAAGTGATAACTAAATTAATTATTTAATTCTTCTATTTAAGTATAAATCAAAATTTAATTGGTGCGAAGGTGATTGTGGTGAAATGCGCGCTCCACCGCGATGCATTGTGTTCCATTGCAGTGTATGTGTTTCAAAGTGGTGCTATTTACTCCGTTCTGTGTAAATTATAATATATTATATTATATTATTTATTTTATATTATGGTCATATTTATATTCATGTTTATTACATTCAATTACCTTCTATCTCCGTTCAATTCAATCTATGTATTGAATAAAGTATTGAATATGTTATATTACTATATTATTATATCAGATCTTGGATTATATTCAGTTATTTAAGTTATTTCAGTTACATTAGGTTATACTGGATAGACTTCCGTATAGGGGATCACTCCGATCGGATCGTAAATGGTGTCAATCGATAGATCTCGGTTAACTGAGTCGAATGCAACTGGTTTTAATGTTAGGAGATCACCCGTTAATTAAATAAAGTCAATTAATTATAATCGCCGGCCTACCGTTCCGTATGGGCCAGAATACTCCGATCGGGTCGTAAATGGTGTCAATCGATAGATCTCGGTTAACAGAGTGGAATGCAACAGGTGTTAATGTAAGGAGATCACCCGTTAATTAAATAAAGTCAATTAAAAATAATCGCCGTCTTCGGCACAGTAGAACAACTCCGTAAAAGTTCCGAAGCCGTACTCACATTATATCTCGGAAACTATGCGAAATATGGTAAAATATTTAGAGACCTTTTTTGTAAAAAATTAAATTTGCAACTATTTATGTTCTATAATATTTTTTCATTAGCTGCGTAGTTTTCGAGATATATCAAATTATACCGGAAGTGTAGAAAATAATTTCAATCCATCACTATTCCATCATATTGTCGAACAAGTGGGCGGGGGAGGGGCTCTGCCCCTCCCCCTGCACCCCCACCCCATAAAATCTGGGCTAACCTAACCACTTCTATTGCGAGCCGACTTCCGGTCCAAGTTGATTGTATGTCTTAAGTTCCAATTTTGCATACACCTGACCTAAATTTGTACCCCGGAACCGCTACTGCCTAGCGTTCCAACAGACGGAAGAGTAGTCCTACTATGCCGAAGACGGCGATTATTTTTAATTGATTTTATTTAATTAACGGATGATCTCCTAACATTAAAACCTGTTGCATTCGACTCAGTTAACCGAGATCTATCGATTGACACCATTTACGATCCGATCGGAGTGATCCCCTATACGGAAGGGTAGCCTTCCATTATATTATTATAGTTGAGTGAATAAACGAATGAGGTGATTAGCGGTGGATATGGTATATTGAATAAATTAGGTTAAATTAATTAAACGACTTGACAAGTGCTTGTTTTATTTCACCGTACCTGCCGTATTTACATATTTACATTATTATGTGATGACATGTGTCTATATGCCTTAGTGTAGTTTAATTGGCCTTATTGCATGCTGAACATAATGGATTCAATGGAATTCACTAGAATCTATTAGAATTTGTTGGTTTATATGGATTTGTTGTTTGAATGCATATATTATGTGAATGCATATATTATGTACGTTTCATTGTGCTGCGTTACCTTCATATATATTTTAAGGACAGTTTGATCCTGCGTTTCCTGTTGCATTGTGTTATGAGATGACTTAGGTGTCACTATTATGCTGTGTCTTGACTATATTAATCCATATACAAATTATATATTATAAATTTACATCTACTTAGTTCGGCTTTGACAATACTGTATGTATAATTTTGCACTTTCTCTACCCATTTTGATATGGTTCAGTTGTCAATAAGTAAGTGAGCGCAGCAATTTTCTTTATACTTTGACAGGAATTGTTGTTCCTCAAGGCGCCCTAATGGAATACTTTGTTTTCCTTCCTTTTAATTGATTACCGGTCTACTTCATTGCTTACTTACTTGGTTGTTACTCAATGCAGCAGAGCTCAACGCAGTGTTGGGTGGTTAATTTGGTTTGGGTGTTGATTATATGCTAATATTTACTATTATACTTCCCCAACTAACTTTCTTTTCTACTCTTTTCTATTCTCTCTGCTACAGCTGCTTGTTTTTTTGTTTTACCGCTCTCTTGCCAATGGCAATTTACTTCTACATTATCTTACTCGTGCGATAGGATTGTCGTCTGAGCTTGTTTCTTACACTTTCGTTCTTCACCTGGCTAGGGAGTGGCTACGCTATGTGCCTACTTTCTTCATGGGCATTCTGCATGCCTCCTTTTACCTGCTTGGTTGTTTGAACGGTCGATGCTATGCCTTCTGGGAGCGGTGTGTGTGTGGCTGGGGTATGTATGGGACAAGTCATCGAGGGTTGCAGCGTACGAAGACATGGCGCGGTCAGCCGGGTAAAGGACTTCCCGGTTCCTGATCGTAGCCGAAGAGAAAGCTTCCTGAACTCGCTCATGGCAGGCAGGTGAAGACACGGCCCGATCACCCGTTGAGCAGGAGCTCCGGTGCCGGTCGTGGTTGAAGAAAAATCCTGCGCAACACGCGTGCAGGTTAAAATATCCTACCGCTTGATCGGAGGTGTTGCGGCGTGGCTCCTCAATCCCCTGTGGGTATCTAGCGCACGGCGGATTGAGGGTAGACGAAAGCGTACATGAAAGCTTGGGAGCTAAAGCGCCGTCGCGGCTATCGCCGGTACAACTGGGATATCCTCTACGGATGAAAGGGTACCGGCGGCCTACGTCAGGGGAGAGGTTTTAGTGGGTAGTATATCAGGCCGCGGATGCCCCTTCTGGGCGCCGCAGGGTCGCCCCTTCTGGCTGTGACCACTATGATTTGAGCCCACCCTTTAGGGTGAGGCTATCAGGTTGCCCCTTCTGGGTTGCCTCTTTGGGTTTGCCCTCACCAAACGGGAGCCAGGCCCCCCTTCAGGGGATATGAGTCCCACACTGCCCGGGCCCCCTCTAGCCGAATAGTGCGACAAGGGCAAACCCGCGCGTGCGCAAACGCATTTCCTCTTCCATATAACCAAAAAAAAGGGTTAGGGTTAGGTTAGGGTTAGGGTTAGGGTGGATTCCCGCTCGACGCGTCGAGGAGAGCGGACGTGTTTCGTGGTCGCTCCGTGGTTAGTTTCGCAACGCGGTGAAAAGCGGCTTATTTATTCGCGTTTTTTGTTAAATAGTGTTTATTAAGTGTTCGGGAGTGCTATTGTTGTGTTTTGTGATTAAATAATGTGTTAATTTATTGTTAAATAACGAAAATGTGATGTGCGTGTTACGCGGCATTTCCACGTGTGTCCCCGGTATTCGTGGCGTTAATTATGAACATTAGACATTATTTACGGACAATTTTGGTTAATCGGGAACGTTTCGCATTAAAATTCCGCGTTTTTTGTGACTTTTTGTGATTCAATTAATGAAGACAACGCATGCAAGATCAGACAGGATTGACAGGTTTTCAAGATGGCTGCTGTGGTTGGACAAGGATAGTCAACCTGCACGCGCGGCCCGGGCCTTGGATAGAAGAGGACAGACGATGGGAAATTAGGTCAACGGTTTGGTGACGTATTATTTTTATTCCTTTATTCTGTTCTTATTCTCATTTTATTTTGTTTTCCGTTAATTGCGTCGGTTTATTAAGTGATTTGTGTAAAAGTGCATCGATATTTTTTCAATATTTTTCGATATTCCTTCGTTATGTGTATTATTAATATTAATTTACTTTATTTTACTATCTGGTTGCATGTGTTTGACTGGCACGTTATTCCGCTGTATTATTTAATTATTTGTTTATTAACACATTCGATTAATCGATTCGATTATTCGATTATCCGGTGTTTCCGGTTTTGCATATTTATTCATCGTATTTTCTTATTTTCTTATCTTATTTTATTATTTTCATTATTTTCTATTGTCATTTTAACGCTTTTATCAATTTTCATTTTATTTTATGTTTCGCTTCATTATTTTATCGTTTATAGTGTTCTATATTTTATTTTACTTTTCCTTCGCTGTTTATACTTACATATTGATATTTAACACTATTTTGTGTTATTCTGTGTTATTTGTTTCATTTATTTATTTTATTTATTTATTATAGTACAGTGGGGTAGTGTGCCTTGATAATTTATGCAACTTGCGTTACATTCATTATTTGTCTTATTTATTTTATTACCGTAATTTTATTTTATCTCATTGTTGTCTTTTATTTATTTATTTATTCGCAACGGTATAATTGTGTGATTAATAAACCTGCGCAATTTACGTCCCTCTGCGTGATTTAATTGTTCAATTTATTTATCGTCTTATCGTATTTACCGTTCTATTTGGTTCTATATATATTAATATCGCTTTTTCATGTGTTAATGGTTTACGCGGTTTACATTGCTGTCTCGTCTTATTATTTCATTACCCATCGTATTCTATTTTATTTATTTTATTTACCATCTACATTCATATTTCATATCTCATGGTTCATGTTATTTAATATCTTTCGCGTCATTACGGGTATTGCATTTATTTATTTCCTTTATTTTGTGATTCAATACGTAGTCCGCTTGTCATCCGGTTGTTCGGCTTATTGTTTGGTTTATTTATTTTATTTTATTATATTTGTCATTTTCATCGATTCATATCCGTGGTGCAACGTGTTTAACGTGTTTATTGGTTACGTGGTTACGTGGTTTACTTTTCTTGTTCTTTCGATTTTGATATTCGATTATCTCATTCATAGTATTCATCGTATTTATTCCTTTATTTCTTTCTTATATCGTGGCTTACATATTTCATTTTGGACGATGCAGCAGTGACATGTGCTGAAATAAATTGAATTGATTAATAAATAAATAAATTGGACAATCCGGGTTGTGTTTTTAATTGTTCCTCTTGTTCCAGTTCCAGTTTTGTTTTGTTTTGTTTTGTTTTAGTTTATTTCAGGTTTAGTGTGTTTGTTTTAATGATATGGTGTGATGAGGGATTGCTTTTGTGCTTTTGGTGTAAATAGTTTTGTGTAGTTTATTTGTTGCGTGGTGGGTGCTCATTTACTTTCCTTTCCTTTACTTACTTACTTATAATATTGTATTACATTCACGCTTTCTTGCTTTCATTCACGCCTTCTTTCACTCACGTTACCTTCCTTACCTTCTTTATTTTTCTAAATCTTGCATTTCCTTAATCTTCCCATTCATTCAGTCATTATGCATTAACTCATTCATTCATTCATTCATTCTGATCAATTAAAGTTAAATTAATGGATATGATATGATTTATTTTACTTTAGTTTTTATTTCTATGATGATGAGTGGTTTTGTCCATTCAAATGCTTTGATGGTGCAGGGTTTGTTATAATCTTATCATTTAAGTATCCTTATTTACTTATTTACTTATTTATTTATTTATTGTTAGTCTATACACTGGTATGGTGTTTATCGAACTACGCAGTTTACATTTGATTTGATTTGATTTCTTGGTCACTTTAGTTACTTTATTTTGATACGTCATTCAATAACCAGCTCTATTTGCATTTGCATTGACATAATCATTTATCATTTACCATTTACCATTTATAATTTAGTTTATAATCTACTCGGTGAGGAAATAGAGTGTTGTAGCTAATAATCTTTACGGTTATATTTCACTGAATTCACTTCTTGTATTTTGTATTCTATTTTAGTATATATCATTTTGTTTTACATTACATTACATCGCATTATATGACATTATTTACATTATGTTGGTTACAGCCTTCACTTTATATTTTGTGCCTTATTATTTATCTGGTTATTTACCTCATTCTTCTTTATTATCTTTAATTGATTATTTCACTGTCCAGTCAGTCATTCTTTTATTCTCTCATTGTTTATGCGTTCTGACACATTCCTGCTTTTTGCTCTCACTCACGCCTTCTTACCTTCTTTATTTTCTTTATTTTCATTATCTTCTTTATTCACCTTCTTTATTTTCCTTAATCTTTAATTTCCTTAATCGTTCCATTCATTCATTCATTATTCATTATTCATTATTCTTTCACTCATTCATTCTGATCAATTAAAGTTAATGGATATGATTTATTTTACCTTATTTTACTTTATTTTAATTAAGTTTTGCTCTCTCTACAATGATAGGTGGTTTTGTCCATCCAAATGCTTTGATTGTGCGTGAATTTTATTATAATCTTATCATTCAAGTACTCTTATTTATTATATAATTATTTATTTATTCTATTTTTATTTTATTTTATTTCACTTTATTCTTATTTCAGTTTATACACTGGTATAGTGTGTATTGAACTACGTACTTTACATTTCATTTCATTGTTGCTTTAGCTATTTTATTTTGATACATCATCCAATAATCAGTTCTATTTGCATTTGCATTGACATAATCATTTACCATTTATAATTTAGTTTATAACCTACTTTGGTGAGGAAACAGAGTGTCGTAGCTAATAATCTTTACGGTTATATTTCATTGAGTTCACTTCTGGTACTTTGTATTCTATTTTAGTATATTTCATTTTGTTTTACATTATATTACATTACATTATTTACATTATGTTGATTACAGCCTTCATTTTATATTTTATGCCTTATTATCTATCTTGTTAGTAACCCCATTTTTCTTTATTATCTTTAATTGATTATTTCACTGTTCAGTCATTCATTCATTCTCTCATTGTTTATTCGTTCTGACATAGTACTGCTTTTTGCTCTCACTCACGCCTTCTACCTTCTTTATTTTCCTTAATCTTTAATTTCCTTAATCGTTCCATTCATTCATTTATTATTTATTCATTATTCATTATTCATTCACTCATTCATTCTGATCAATTAAAGTTAATGGATATGATTTATATTACTTTATTTTACTTTATTTTAATTAAGTTTTGCTCTCTCTACAATGATAAGTGGTTTTGTCCATCCAAATGTTTTGATTGTGCGTGAATTCTATTATAATCTTATCATCCAAGTACTCTTATTTATTATTTACTTATTTATTTATTCTATTTTTATTTTATTTTATTTCACTTTATTCTTATTTCAGTTTATACACTGTTATAGTGTTATTGAACTACGTACTTTACATTTGATTTCATTGTTGCTTTAGCTACTTTATTTTGATACGTCATCCAATAATCAGTTCTATTTGCATTTGCATTGACATAATCATTTACCATTTATAATTTAGTTTATAACCTACTTTGGTGAGGAAAAGGAAATGGAGTGTTGTAGCTAATTATCTGTACGGTTATATTTCATTGAGTTCACTTCTTGTGTTTTGTATTCTATTTAGTATATTTCATTTTGTTTTACATTACATTACATTACATTACATTACATTACATTAGTTACATTATGTTGGTTACAGCCTTCACTTTATATTTTATGCCTTATTATTTATCTTGCTATTTACCTCATTCTTCTTTATTATCTTTAATTGATTATTTCACTGTTCAGTCATTCATTCTTTCATTCTCTCATTGTTTATTCGTTCTGACACATCCATGCTTTTTGCTCTCACTCACGCCTTCTTACCTTCTTTATTTCCTAAATCGTTCCATTCACTCATTCATTATTCATTCACTCACTCATTCTGATCAATTGAGGTTAATGGATATGATTTATTTTACCTTATTTTACTTATTTTAATTAAGTTTTGCTATCTCTACTATGATAAGTGGTTTTGTCCATCCAAATGCTTTGATTGTGCGTGAATTTTATTATAATCTTATCATTCATGTACTCTTATTTATTATTTACTTATTTATTTATTCTATTTTATTTCATTTTATTCTTATTTCAGTTCATACACTGGTACAGTGTTTATTGAACTACGTACTTTATATTTCATTTCATCTATTTGTTACTTTAGCTACTCTATTTTGATATGTCATTCATTAATTAGTTCTATTTGCAGTTGTATTGACATGACCATTTATCATCTACCATTTACCAGTTACAGTCTAACTTATAATCTACTCTGGTAAAGAAATAGAGTATTGTAGTTAATAATCTTTACGGTTATATCTATTGAATTCACTTCTTCTATTTTGTATTTTGTATTCAGTTTATTATTGCATTCTGTTTTGCATTATATTGCATTACTTATATTACAGTGCATTACATTACATTATTTACATTAGGTTGGTTACGGCCTTCACTTTTACTTTATGCTTATTATTTATTATTTACCTCATTATTTACCTCATTCTTCTTAATATCTTTAACTGATTATTTCATTGTTCAGTCGTTCATTTCATGCTGTCATTGTTCATTCATTCTGAATTAAATTGAATCAAGGTAACTGTTAAGATTTAGTTTATTTTGTCTCACGATGGTACAAAGTTCTGTAAATGGCATTAATATTAATATAATTATGGTTTGTTTGCATACAATTATTCTATATATATTTTCTATATTTTAATTTATTTGTGCCACGTATCACTGTCTACCATCATTTATTTTATTTTATTTCTTGTCACCTCTATCCTTGGACATTCCTTGGACATTTTGACATTTTGATATTCTTCTCTGGTATTCTTTAATTCAATTTATTCAAGCCGTTTCTCTTCGATAATAGTATAGCTCTTTGATGACGGTGTGCTGTTCCTGTAGGAATTAATATTCATGTCATTAACTTGTGCTACTCTTGTTTAAATTTATTATGCGTTATTATAATCATTATCTTGTTTGTTTCTTTTCTCTTCTTTTCTTTTATATTTCCTTTCTGCTAGTTACCTGCTGCCTTGGTTGCTTTGATTCTACTTTGGTTACATTTATTTATTAACTGACTGGGTGTTACATGATTGGTCCTACGTGACTTTCCTGACTATATGCGTTATCTGACGTTGTGAGATGGCTATATTTGATTTCGATTCTGTTTAGGTTGAATGTTTCATTCGTTTATTTATTCAGCCTTTCGTTCTGTGGTGGTTTCTTTGTTTCGTTGTTCTGCGTAGTTTGTTTCCTGCGGCGCGATAGGCAGTAACATGATGCGTCCTGCAATCTGCGGATCTTATTCGGGTTGATTTCATTTCTTTCATTTCATTCTATCTTCATCATTGTTTATACTTAACATTTACTTCATCCTACACTATTGCAAACGTATGATTTATATATTTATAAATAATAAATGATAGCCGTGGTATTGTTTTATTAATTGATTTATTCTTGATTTTAATCCGTCTGGGGTTCTATTTGTTGCCCGTTTGCTTTTATAATTACCTTTCCCGTGAGTCGTGGTAATGTTTTATTAATTGATTTATTCATGATTTTAATCCGTCTGGGGTCTTATTTGTCCGTTTATAATTACCTTTCCGTGAATAGTATTGGATATCGGACTTATCTTTTATGGTAAGTCTGATGGTAAGTATGGCTTCCTAGGATGGCGCGGTTGCGCGACGGATAGTTTAGCTGTCGGTAACTGAGATGTAGCAGATATCTGGCGCGCGGTGGGTAACTGCTGCGCGGCGGATAGTTGGTCGGTGGATAACCGTTACGGGATGAACGGCCGAGTATTGTATGGTAAATAAGTAGAATGCTTGTGGCCGATAATATTTGGCTGCCGGTGCTGCGGATGGTTACCAACTAAGGATAATTTGTAATTATTATCAACGGATAGTGTTGCGTACTTTACTTTATTTAGTGAGATACCGGAATGTTTTCCGCTATCGTTACCTTCCGTTGCATTCTATTCGTGTTTGGTTTCGTTCACTGTAATTTATTGAAAGTGTTTTACTGATGTATTTAGTCGCGGGCGCTTGTACGTTCCGTGTAATAATCAATTAATTAATTTGATAACTAATTTAATAGACAACAGACATAATGGGACGAACTGTAAATTTTACGAAATTCCTCGAAGGTTACGCATCTATATGGCGTATGGTTTATGGCTTAAGCTTCACGCGGTTTCTTATCTTTGGTTGACATGATCATCGGCGGCACTGGTTTACTCCATCTCCATGTGCCATATACTCGGTTGTGACATGGAGGAGGATCGTGAATTAATTGAATCGTTAAATTGCTGAGTTCTGATTAGGCCATTAATATTGAATATTGAATATCGGTGCGTGTGTGTTTGTGATTTGTGCGTGTACCCATTGCAATGAGTGGTGACATGTGCTATTGTGCTCCGTTTTCTGATATATTATATATATGTATTTATTTATATTTATTTATATATTTGTATATTTATATTTACATATTCATTATTCTTATACTTATACATATTTTTATACTCATACTTATACCCAATTTGCATATTGCATATTATTTACAATAAATTCAGTTAGTATTGTGTAATGTTGTGTAATATTTTGCATCATTATCTTTCTACTGCTAATTAATGAATAAAGTTAATTGACAGTTATATCTGAAACACTTGGTTGCCTTGTCGAGTGCTGAGTGTATTCATTTTGTCTTACCGTACCTTCTTCTTAATATTATGCCTGTTTAGGATAATATAATCTGCCTCATTGCATATTCAACGTAATGGATTTTGTAAATTTGCCTGACTTAGCCTTATTGGATGACTACGTCTGTGTGAGATGTGTGAATGAGTGTATGGATTTGCTTGTTGGTAGAATGTATTCCAATGTATCTTGTTCTAATCTTTTATTTTGTGTCCGTCACGTCCGTCTATATACTATACTTTACACTTTCTTTACTTTCCTTACTCTCTCTATTTGCCTCTACTTGCCTTAACTTGATTAACTTCTGTAATAGCTCTATTGCTCACTCACTCATTCATTCATTCGCTTATTATCTACAAGTATTTATTTAGAGTTATTTGGATTTAAGTACGGTTAATTTTCTTGAGAGGATAGACGATTTTGTCCATTCAAAAGCTTGTCAGCGCGTGGCTTCTGTTATAATCACACCATTCAAATTTCATTTCAAATACCCTACTTCTTTGGTTATTTACTTATTTATCTGTTATTCCTTATTTTATTCTTTTACTATGTAATGGTGTGGTGTCTGATTGAACCACGCACGTTATATTTGATTTGTCATTATATTTATTATTTACTATCTTTATACATCAGTCGGTTATGAATTTTTACCTTCTATTTGCATTTGCATGGACATAATCACTTACAATTTATAATCTATAATTTATAAAGTAGTGGGGATGGAGTCAATAATGTTTACGGTCATATTTAATTAGAATATAACTCACTTGTTGTATTTATCTTATTTTCTTTTACATTATTTTGCATTATACTACATTATATCAGCTATGTCTGTTAAGCGTTACACATTTTCATTTGCTGTAGTTCCTCAGTTTGTGAATATCTTCAGCTTTTCCTCTCGCATTCAGTATTCATTTATTCATTTATTATTCATTATTCATTTTGATGTTTTGATGTTGCCTGATTATAGTTATACATTGATTTGATCTGATTTTAATTTATTTTCTGACTCATATTTCCTTTCTGCCAGTTGCTTGTTGCCTTGCTGCCTTGACTTTATTCTGGTTTTATTTATTCTGTTAACTAATATCATTTGACTGGGTGTTGTCTGAATGGCTCCATGGGTTTTCCTGACTATATGCTTTTCATATTGATTTTGCTTTGGTTTAGGGTCTTATTTTATTATTTATTCGGCCTCTCATTCCTTGGCGGTTGTTTTCCTTTATCTTCATTGCCTTTTGTATAATTTGTTTCTTTGCGACGTTATCATGCAGTAACGCAGTGCGTCCTGCAATCTGCGCAATCTGCGGGACTTATTCGGGCTGATTTTATGATTTATTATTTTTATTATTTTTCTAATTATTTTATTGACTTCCATCGTGTCAGGCTACTTTATGCGTTTTAACTATAATTATATTCTATCTTATTATTTTATCACAAACTTATTTGATGTTTTATATAGGTAATGTATTTATAACCATAATATTGACTTATTTCTTTATATAATAATTAATTAATGCCTGATGTTGGCCCGTTTGAAGTTTATCTCTGATCCCATTGATTTAGCATAATTATCTTTTCGATTATAGTATTGTATACCAGACTTATCTTTGATGGTAAGTCTGATGGTAAGTACGGTTTCCCAGGATTGCGCGGCAGCACGATGGACGGTTCTGCAGTCGGTAACTGTGTAATTGGTAATTGGCGCGTGGTAGGTAACTACTGCGCGGTAGATAATTTGCCTGTGGATAGCCGTTGCGGAGTGAGTGGCCGAGTATTACTGTCTGGTAAACGGAATATTTGTTGCTGGTAATATCCTTGGTACTGCGGTTGATTACCAACTAGGCATAGCTTGCGGCTTATGGTCATCGTTTGTAGGTACATTATCTTTGGTTTTGGTCATGTTGATTCATTTTGATTTGTTTAAACTGTTTTGTTTATGCAATTTCGCTTTTCGCTTATGAGCACTTATATACACTCTATTATAATTACTTAATTACTTAATTTGATGGTTTGATGGATAATTGACGGTTGATAACCATTATGGAGTGAACTAGGGAATTTTAATTTTATGAACACTAGGTTCTATCTCTATATGTTTTTTGTTTTATGTTTTATGCTTTATGGTCTCGTTTTCGCTCTTTTACTCGGCCCGGTTTTCAGTCTTAGGTAACATAGTTTTCGGTGACGTGTGTTTACTCTTCTATTCTCCGGGCATTGTGCAAATTTGTGCATTATGTACTCGTCCGTGATCTGTGATGTGGAGTGTTAACTAAATTAATTATTTAATTCTTCTATTTAAGTATAAATCAAAATTTAATTGGTGCGAAGGTGATTGTGGTGAAATGCGCGCTCCACCGCGATGCATTGTGTTCCATTGCAGTGTATGTGTTTCAAAGTGGTGCTATTTACTCCGTTTTGAGTAAATTATAATATATTATATTATATTATTCATTTTATATTATGGTCATATTTGTATTCATGTTTATTACATTCAATTACCTTCTATCTCCGTTTAATTCAATCTATGTATTGAATAAAGTATTGAATATGTATATTACTATATTATTATATCAGATTTTGGATTATATTCAGTTATTTTAGTTATTTCAGTTACATTAGGTTATACTTAGTCAGTATTTTGTGCTACACTGTAAACTGTATTGTATTGTATTATATAACTCCCTATCTTCTATTCCATTATATTATTATAGTTGAGTGAATAAACGAATGGGGTGATCAGCGGTGGATATGGTATATTGAATAAATTAGGTTAAATTAATTAAACGACTTGACAAGTGCTTGTTTTATTTCACCGTACCTGCCGTATTTACATATTTACATTATTATGTGATGACATGTGTCTATATGCCTTAGTGTAGTTTAATTGGCCTTATTGCATGCTGAACATAATGGATTCAATGGAATTCACTAGAATCTATTAGAATTTGTTGGTTTATATGGATTTGTTGTTTGAATGCATATATTATGTGAATGCATATATTATGTACGTTTCATTGTGCTGCGTTACCTTCATATATATTTTAAGGACAGTTTGATCCTGCGTTTCCTGTTGCATTGTGTTATGAGATGACTTAGGTGTCACTACTATGCTGTGTCTTGGTTATATTAATATATATTAATCCATATACAAATTATACATTATAAATTTAAATTTACATTTACTTAGTCCGGCTTTGACAATATTGCACTTTCCTACCCATTTTGATATGGTTCAGCTGTCAATAAGTAAGTGAGCGCAGCAATT